CAAACCGTGCCAAGGTCCCCCCTTTTTATAGGGATTCGCGCTCGTCAGTCGGGACCGCGTCTCAAATTGCAAGGTCGGGACCGCTGTCTCGCCAGACGAGACGGTGGTCTCACCATTGGTGAAGTGGCGAGACGGTCGTATCACCAATCAAGACGGCGGTCTCGCAATTGGCGAATGGCGAGACGGCGGTATTACCCAACGAGACGGCGGTCTCGCCATTGGCGTATGGCGAGACGGCGGTCTCGCAATTGGCGAATGGCGAGACGGCGGTATTACCCAACGAGACGGCGGTCTCGCCATTGGCGTATGGCGAGACGGCGGTCTCGCCATTGGCGTATGGCGAGACGGCGGTCTCGACCCTTTGGGTGGAAATTCTTATTTTTTGTTATTTTTTGCACACAAAAAAACATTCCTATCCTAATATGGGGCCTATTAATCAACCTTAAAGACCTTCTAGGCCTCGCCCATCTTCGAACGGAAGTATTCGGCTCTTTATTTTGAAGTCGGGCAAGATTTGGGGTCTACAGCTGCCCCCCCTTCTCCTGACCAATTGACTATGGGTTAACGTGCCATGAGGTCGACTGGCAGGTGAAGGAGTTAACCCTCTTGCCCGGTTGTCCTCTAGATGTTTTTCTTGTCGTGGTAGCTGACCCTCGGGATGTAGAATCTGATGATGTATTTGGGATGTTTCCCTGACGTGGATACTGGTCCCTTAGACGGTGTGTTGTGAAGCTTCAGGATGCCCCTTCAATTGGTAGTTGACCCTTTAGCTTTGATGAAAAGAGAACTTCGGGATGCTCCTTTGACACAGTAACTAACCCCTTAGTCTTGATGAAAGAGAACTTTGGGATGATCCTTTGACGCGGTAGCTGATCCCTTAGTCTCGGTCTGGTGCCTCAAGATACTCTTTTGACGCGGTAGCTGACCCTTTGGCTGAAGATCTTCCTTTGGGATGCTCCTTCGATGCGGTAGCTAACCCCCCAGGTGGTGAACTCTTGTCTTCAGGATGCTCCCATGCTCTGGAAGCTGACCCTTAGGACAATAGAGGCGGGTTGTATCTTTTGGATACCCTTTCGTAACAGGGTTGATCCTTCGGATGATGTGCGCCACTCCCTCAAGATACTCCTTTGTAGTGGAGCTGATCTATCAGGTGATGATGGTGGATCGTGTCTCTCGGATACTCCCTTACGACGGAGTTGATCCTCTAGATGGTGTGTAGAACTCTAACTTCTGATGTCATCTTCATTGTGATGGCTGATCTTTGTGATAGAGAAGGTGGTGGCGGCTTACTGCTCTAGCTCATGCGCCGTCATTTGTCTTCAGGACACTCCTTTGCGATGGAGTTGGTTCTTCAGACAATGTATGTGGTGGCGGCTTACTGCTCTAGCTCATGCACCGACTCCATGGGGAGTAATTTCTGTTTGAAGATTTTTGCTTGACTTTCTGTTGTAGTCATCCAGTATGTCGGGGACTCTTTTGGCTTTTTCTTTAGCCATCCAGCTTCTTGACTACTGGGGATTATATTTTTCCAACTGTCATCCAATTTGTTTGATTGTTGGGATTCTTGATGAATGCCTTTTAAGTAGGTAGGAATCCACTGGGGATTTGTTGATCTTGGCGATGGTGCCTCTGAGTAGGCAGATATTGAGGTTCTAGTAATGCCTCTAAGTAGGCAGATGCTTCATAGGAAGTAAAGACTTTTGGCTGCATTGTTTCGCCTCTGAATAGGCTGATGTCCCTTTCTGGGGATATTGGCTCTAGCTTGTCAGGCCTTGCCTATGTATAAGCAAACGACTCTTCTGAGGATGTGAGTCTGAAATTTGCCTTTGTCGTAGGCTCACTGAGGATGATTTTTTTTTCTCTTTTTGATGATCCACCGGGGATTGATTACCTTCCCGGGGATCCGATTTCAGTTTTCCCCCTAGAGTTTTGACTCCTTGTTAGGTGTTGGTGTGAGCTGGCTTTGCGACGCTCTTATTCCACTGCAGAATGGGAATCCTAAAAGTTAGGATATTTAATTTCGCCTTTTTTCACAATTTATTTTTTTTTTATCGCGATTTTTGAAATTTGGTTTTTTTATGGGGGTGATGCGTGTGCCTTTTTACTCTTCAGTTTCTTGTATGCACGCATAATTTTTCTTCTTTTTGGGGATCCGCAGGGGATTTCCTTTTTAGTGGCCCGTTTCGGGGTTTATTGGCCTTCCTTTGTCATGGCCTTTTCTTTTTGGGCATCTACTGGGGATGCAGGGTTTTGGTGATCCACCAGGGAATTAGCTGACTTCCTAGGGATCTGATTTTGACGTTGATGTGAGCTGACCTTGTGAAGCTCTTATTCCACTGGGGGATGGAAATTTTTTATTCTTCCTTTTTATAGATTCTTCTGGTATGATTTGCTAGGAAATTTTATTCGGCCTTCTTTGTTGTGGCCTTTTTTGGTCCTCTGTTGGAGATGAAGGATTTTCTTTTTCTCTTCTTCTTTTCTTGTTGGACCCTTGAGGGTACGGAGGTTTGCCTCCTTTAACTGTTGATGATGGTGGGCCTTGGATAATTTTTGCTTTCGCCTTCAGATTAGGCAGGGGTCCTCTTGGGGATTACTTGAGCCCTTTTGTCGACTTTTCTGGTGGTTTATGCCCCCTCTTTATTGGGTAGGATGGCAGTTGGAGCTTTAGCTTCTGAAAGCTCTTTATTTCTTCTGAGTTATTTGATGACGGTAACTCGCTCTTCTTTCTTGAGGGAGAGCAATGTTTGGAAGCTTCTTATTCGTGCCTTCTTTTTCTGGATAGAAGGATGGTAGTTGGAGCTCTGGCTTTTGGAAGATTTTATTTTGCTCTGGAGTTGCTTGATTATTGATTACTTGCTCTATTCTCTTTGAGGAGAGCTTTATCTGGAGACTTATTTTGGGTGCTTCTTGTTTTCAATCACAAACATAGAGCTAGTTTCCTTATATGCATGAATGTTTTTCATTTTTTGTTATTTATCTGAAATAATTTTTTTTTCATTTTTGATCTTGACAAAGTCGTTTGTGCGACTACTTGTGTGTGGATGCTCTAAATGCACTCTATCTTTTTATTTGATGCATCTAGAGAAATGACCGAGCATTCTCCTGTTGGATATGAATATTTAATAAAATAATATTAAATATTTTATAACGCGGACCGGTCCATTTGTTGTTTAACCTAACTTAAATCCGTGTAGATCATGACTTAAAAGGATTTTATCAAAATAGGTTTAATTCAATTTAGGCGACAAATTTTTTAACCTAATATGGTCTTTTCTTGAACTTTTTGAATTGGTCTATCGAGCTACACCTATTTTGATACTTTTATTTTTAATCATGTTATTTATATAAAATATGTAATGGTTTTATTAATAATTAATATTAATTATCTTTAATGGATTCTTCATTCAATTTTTATTTTTTTTTATTTTTAATATTCACATAATTAAAGTTGGAATCTATTTAGAAGATTCAATCCAATAACTCTCAAAGTATTTCTTATTTGTAGTTCTTTTTTCATTTGAGCTTAATTATATATAGTAATTGAGATACCCGTGAAATTAGATAAAATAAATTCTAAATTTAAGTTGTGATAAATAATCCTTAATGTGCTTGTGAACCCCTAAGCACATGTTTGTTTCCAGCGAAACATTGAAGGCGCGGAAATGTCACGCATTTTTATATATATAAAATTGAAAAAAAAAAATCTTCCTCTCTCACTCTCATGTGGAGAAAAGAAAAAAAAATTAAAATTTTTAAACATAATCAATTATAAGATTATCCACAATCAATTATGTAAGTAAGTATTAGATAATAAGTACAACTTTTTATTTAATATTTTTATTTTTATATTAATATAATAATAAATAATTAAAAATATTAAAATAATAATTAAATGATAATGATAATGAATACGATTTTGAGATTTTATAATATAATTTATTTATATTTTAAATAAATTTTATTTTGATGCGTGTAATTGGTGAGGTGAAATAATAAACTTATCTTTTTTAACAGGTTTTTATAGATGCTTTAATATATAAAGTTCTAAAAATTAAAAAAGAGGTTATAGTTGTTAACATTTCTTTCAACTTGTATTCAAAGTTTATTTTCAACAAATTGTGAGGGAATTGGTTGATAGTTTAAAGTTGGTGAAATCGATTTCAAAAATCTAATTATTAAAAAAAAGTGAGAAATTTATGCTATAGTATCCCAATAGTATATTAACTTAAAAATGGTTGATTTAATTCTACGAAACATTAATAAATTTAAAAAATGTTTTATTAAAGTCATAAAAATTATATAAAACGAAATCAAGTTATATAGCTAATCCTCGTTATTATCAAAACAAAGTTATTTCATTTTATTTATTTTTAAAGTAATGCAATCTCTATAATTTTGAAGAAACATTAATTAAGTTAAGTACTATTTTAAACAAAAATCAGAACAATGTGGAAAAAAAATATGGAGAGATAATTTAGGGTTAATTAATATTTCGTAAAAGAGTAAAAAAAATGAGCAATGGTGATAAAAGAAAACCCTAATAAAGGAATATTAGTTTTAACTGACTCTCTTTGTGCCTCATTTTGTGGGTAGTCAAAGAAAGGTGATTTGGTGAAGAACCACAGATTTGAAACAAAAAATGTTGATTTGGTAAAAACAAAGCTAAGTTGGTTAAGAAAAGTCCCAAAGATTTAGGCTTACTCAGCGGTGGGGTGTTTTTTTTAATGAAATTTGGACTATTTTTTCTTTTGTGGGAAGCATAGCAACTGAAAACATCAGGTTCTTCTCCTTTACACTTCCTGCCCAATCTTCAACCACATTCAAGGGAGGATTTTCTCTGCTTTTTGCATGCCATCAGGTAATAGTTATTTGTCTCTCTTTTGCTTCTCAGAAACTTTTGTTTTCCAGGGTTTGAATGAAAGATGTTGAAGAGAAATTTATGGATTGTATAAGTTGTTGTGACATTGTTGATAGGAAAAGGTTTTAATAGTGAGAGAAAGATGGAGCCAAAAGCTGACCAAAAGCCACCAAGGGTGATGTTAAATAAACTCCCTGAGTTGGACGTGGAAACCCTAAAGAAGAACTCACACATGCTTGTGTCACCAACATCTCAAACAACGACCAAAAAAACACCACATGGGAGAATGAATTGTCTATGCTCACCCACCACCCATGTCGGTTCCTTTAGATGTCGCCACCATCGATCCTCTGACATGCGCCGTGGCAAATCCGTCGGTTCCAACCTCGCCGAATTGGGCTCAAAAGTTGGGCCCATCAGTGACTCACTCCAAGCCCAATAGTTTGCATTGTAAACAATGAGCTTATGCATGCATGCATGCAAATAGATTCACTCTATTTTCATTCATATGCATACATACACTTATTATATATATACAAACAAACAACCATCATCGCTTGTATAAAGCGTATTCGTGTGTTCTTTAGTTTGCTAATGATATATGAAAAGAACAAAATCGACTTTTGTCTTCAATTTCTTTCTCCTCATAATTTACTCTTCAATGCCAACAACTAATAATTAATACTACTTTATCTACCTTTGTTTTGTTTATGAGCAATAATATTAGAATATATATAAACAAGTGCGATTAAAAAACTTTACGTGCTGAAATGTGTTTTTATAATGGGCAATAATATTTGCTTTGTTTAATTAAATTAATTAATATTATCTTAATATAATAAGATTCAATCATATATTTTTATTTATAAAACAATTCATGTTTTTAAATAGGATGACAAAACGGACTAGTCCATTATAGTTATCATGACTTTTAAAATATCAACTCACCCCACTATATTACAACAGATCACCGTCAGGCATGATCCACTTTATTATCGTTATTTTAAATGATATATGGGAATTGTAAATTTTGGATTAAAAAAAATGAGTTTCTTGAAATACTTTTCTTCTATCTTATAAAATGTTGTTGAAAATACAATGTTTGAATTTAAATAAATTATTCTTTTTATCTTTTTTCTAAATGAGATAATCTAAAATATAGATTTTACTCTCTTTTTTTAAGTTGAGAAATATAATTTTAAATTTTGTCTATTAGAATAAAAAAATTATTATTCATGAATAGAGACTTAAAGACGTAGCTGAATTAGTTCGTCATCTCAATTTAAAAAATTGCTTATATTTTTCAGTAAAAAAACCATGGTTTAATTTTTTTGTGATATTAGAAAAAAATTAGAGGAAGAGTGTAAAAAATGATTAATATGTTAATATGTAAAAAAAGGAATTATAACAAACAGAAGAAAATGATTAATGAATTATTTACTTTTAATGCAAGTTATTTAAGTAGAAGCTGTTAGAAAAATTCTATCTATGAAAAAATAAATTAATTTGAAGAAATATTTATAATATAATTAAAGTATAGGTGTTTATTTAAAAAAAATAACAAAGTTTTAGATCAGAACAAAATTAAGGTTTAAAATGTGTATATGTAAATAGGATATAGTTTGAGGATTAATTAAGATCATATTCAAATAATATATCTTTTGTCATAAAAATTGGGGGGAAAAATATACATAGTTTGATAGCTAAATAAAATGAAGCTTGTAGCAAAGTATTGAGTGAAAGATTATTGTTAAAATATTGATTTGAGTTATATAGGAAGTTAAAGTGCATCATATGTTGTTGTATTAGAATTTTGTGTGGTTGCATTGCAAAATTTGACTAGTAATAGGAACCTAGAAAAAGAAAGAAGTTCAATTAAAATATCAATGAGATATTTAATAATGGATTATAAGTCAATTATATAAAAAATATCATTTTTAATCTAAAATTTTAATGTTATAACAACATAAACTTTATCAAATTGAGTTGGGATGAGAGGCTAATGAGACATTGTTATTTTTATGATTTTGAAATGTGGATAAATAATTATTATCAATAAAGAAATATTTTTTTTGTCTTGATTGTGTTTTTTTTTTCATGTTGTTATATTTAAAGGAAGTGGACAATAGTTTGCATGCATCAATTTATTGAACTTTTAATTTTTAAATGACTTAATATTTTGAAAGTAAATGCCATAGTTTATTTTATTTTTTTTGGATAAAATTTATTAGAAAGTAAATATTTCGATTTTATTTTGTCTGATCTTTTATGTAAAAACCAAATAATAAATTTATTGAAGTACGATTATTATTTTAAGTTAATAATGATAAAAGAAATTAATTTGTATTAAAAAATATCTATAAAAGAGTAAAAGTTTGTCAGACGAATTTTTAAATTTATCTCTTTTAGAAATACCTTAGAATTTGAAAAACAAAATTGTAATTAACTTTGTGATAAAATAATAGATTTAGATTAAAGAAATTTTTGAAAGCAAAAATATAAATATTAAATCTTTAGTAAGTGGATATGTTATCTTGTTTAGGATTTAGATAAACATTTTATGTTAATATTTATTCGTAGATGTTTTATTTATCTAAGGATTTAAAAAAAAATAGAATTTACCTAATAAACTTAAACTAGCAGATATTTTATCTTCTTTAAAAATTAAAACATATACAATTCACCATTATTATTCCACTAATTTTTATACCTTATTCAACTTTTTTTTATTAGAAAATTACAAGTTCCTGAGTTTATTTTTATTTATTTTTAAATTAAAGTTAAAAAAAATAGAAGTTGTTGGTTTTTTCAAAATATTTTGATTTTTTATCCATAGGTAAAATCAATTCCATAAAATATCATCTTATCTAAAGTATTTGTTTCTTGTTCATTTATTATAAGATCTAACAAATTGATTCTTCTAATGTAATATTTGCTTAAGAACATTTATCCTAACTTTATTTAATTCATTTAATTCATCCAACATCTTATTTCGATATTTTAATATAGGGATATCGATTTGTCATTGAATCCAAATTGATTGTATAATAATTTTGATATACAACCTAACTTCATGATTATAAACCAATTTTGAACATTTCTATAAACTCATGATAATTGGAGTAACATTTTGTACCAATTTTTAACCTTATTCTCAATATATTTTTTAATTAAATTTATTAATACTTTGTTAATCGTCTCCACTTATATGTTTGTTTGAACATAATAAGATATAAATACTAATAATTTAATATTTCTCTATTCAATATAATTTATAATTTTTTTCCGGTGAATATTCTTCCTTAATCCGTGGATATTAACTTAGGAATCAAATTATTTAAATAATAAATATTAATCAATTAAGTTTAAATTATTTATTATAATAATGTATTTTACACATAAATATAATAATTTTCTCAATTAATTAAATTAAATATTAATAAATAAATAAATAAATAATTAAAATATATTATAAAGTTAAAGGTGCATTTAAAAAAAACATATATAACAAAAAATAGTAAATTAACTTGTTAGCATATGAGCCTATCTTTTGACTAGACAATTTAGTACATGAAATATGTCTTAATTACGGTCGATTAGTATGTCTTGTCTCAATTTTTTTTTTATCCGCGAGATGTATTGTTAAGTTTATTTAAAAATAATTTTTATTTAAAATTATTTTGTTTGGTGAAAATTGTTTTTCAAACTTTTTTTTATTTCATTTCCTATTTTTTATAATTAGATAAAAAAATGTTTTTTCTATTTTAGTTATATATTCCTTTAAATTATATATATATATATATATATATAGTTAATTAATATTTTTATTAAAAAAATAAAGTAACAATCCTCACATTTAAATGTTGCCTCTATTTCTGAGTACGATGAATGAACTGTTAGGCCAAACAAACCTTAATAAAGATCTAATTTCATCGTAAAAAGAAAATTTAACATAAGATTTGGAGTTAATATTGTTAAGAACTTAACTGTAAGTTTAAACCCTACATTGAATAGAAATTAAAATATTGAATAACTTGTAAATAAATTTAAAAGTTTTTATTAAAAATTGTATTATATTTACTTATTTTTAAGGTTTTTATTAAAAATTGTTATATTATATTTACTTATATATGATTAATTTGTGTCACAGAATATGTATATTACCCTCGCAAATCATCCATCAAATGATTTTGGAACGTGGATAAATAATTATTGTCGATAAATACTTTTTTTTTCTCGTTTGCTTATTCCTTAAAAGTGAGATCGAGTGATGTGAGACAGTATTATTCTTGTTCTTGGAATGTGAATAAATCATTATTGTCAAATAAAGACACTTTTATTTTTTTTTATTTTATTCGGTAGTGCTTTTCTTTATTTTTTTTATAAAATTTATTTAATTGTATTTTCGGTAAAAACTAAATAATCAATTTATTAAAGTATGATAGTTATTTTAAATTAATAATGATAAAATGAATTAAATTTTATTAAAAAATATCCATAGAAATAAGAGTTTGCTAGAGTGGTGTGATGAATTTTAAAATATATTTTTTCAAAAATATATTAGAATTTTGAAAAATAAAACATAGTAGATTAATTTTGTGATAAAATAATAGATTTAAATTATATATATATATATATATATATATATATATATATATATATATATATATATACTTTAGATAAACATTTTGTTAAACTTTACTCATAAATGTTTTATTTATCTAAAGATTTAAAAAAATTAATTTACCTAAATTTAAAATCATAGATATTTCATCTTATTTAAAATATTCAAACATTACGACTGCAATCTAATAACACCATAATTCTTCCACAAATCTTTATATCTTATATAACCCCTTTTTATCAGAATATCACATGTTTGATTTGGCGAGTTTTTTTTTTTACAATTAAAGTTAAAATAAGTAAAAAAAAAATGGTTAGTTAGTTAGTTTTTAAATTAAATATTATTTTATATGATGACAATAAACGAATTGGTAGTTTTATTCTTCTCTCATCCTATTCTATTTTTATAATTAAATATATTAAATTAAAATTTTATAAAATGAGTCTTTTATTATTTATAAAAAATAAAAATATTTAACTTATTCAAAAATAATATAATTTAATATATTATATTTTTAAAAAATATTATATGATACGGCTTAAGTGTTATAAATACTATTATATTATAATTATTAAGAAAAAAATTAATATTTATTTTCAAGTGATTTTTTAATAAATATATTTTTTTAAAATAGATATTCTAATTCATTATTATAACTCCATCTAATTATAACTAAATTAAATCAATACATAAAAAATAAAATTAACTTAAAAATATTTAATATTATTTTAATTAAACAATTAATTAATTTATGATGATAAAATAATTTTAAATTAATTATTTTCTGTCATTATTAATTGATATATATTTCTTTGTTTTAATTTTGAGTTAAAAAAGAAATTACTTTAACTTGTTTTAATCAGTTAGCATAGTGTAGATTTTTTTTTTCATTCGTAAAATAAATTATCGTAAATTATTTCTCTTAGGAATTATTTAAATATAAACTCAGGATATATTTTATTTTATTCTAGGATTCAGATAGATATTATATATATATGCTGAGATATATTTAAATTCAAATTTTAAATGTTTTTAACTATCTTAGAGATTTAAAAAATTAAAACATTATTTAAATTTAAATTGTAGATATTTTATTTATTTTAATATTTCAAATATACCACAAGTGCAATAACGATAAAATTCGAATGACATAATTATTTTTCTACTAATTTTTATTGGATTTCTACGAATTGCAACCTTTGCCACTATTATATAAAAGAATAATTGTTTTTTTAAACAACTGATATATTTATTTTTCCTATGTTTTAATCTGATACTGTATTTAACTAAAGATATAAGAAAATTAGATGAAATCTATGATCACATAATATTATTTTTTTATAAAGATTGAAAAAAAAACTATAATACTTTTGAATGATGATAATTAAAATATTTATTTGAACAGTGATATATATACACGAGAGTTTACACTATATGTTTTATTTTGTTAAAATTAGTATTAAATATTTGAAATTTTATTTTGTCCTCCTAATTATATATATATTTAAACTTATTGATCACTGTTATATGATAAATTTATATATAATTAAAAGTGTACAAATACATGAGATAAAGAAAATATTATCCTAATCTTATATTTCTGAACTACTTAAGATGTTAGATCAGGCATTTGAGTTATATAGGAAGTTAAAATGCATCATATGTTGTTGTACTAGAATTTTATGCGGTTGCACTGCAAAATTTGGTGCAGGAGGAACCAACGTGTCTATATTATTAATGTAGTGAGGAACAATGACAGTGGCAATGCCTTGTAATGTTGTATCATGAATGCTTTTCCTCTTTTTCTCTTTATTTTGGGTCTTATGAAGAAAGTACTTTTGACCATGACTAGCAATTTGACTTGGAGTTTTTGAGGGAATAAGATGTTCTGAAATTTTTGTCCATTTTCGACCATACATGTGAAGTCCTACGAGAAATAACCTATCACATAACAACATAAAATATTAGTTTTGTTAAGTATAATATAAAATTCAAAACATAAAAATATATGAAAGATCTTAATAATTGATCTTGAAATAGTTAAATAATATATTATTAATAATTAATATATTAATATAATAAAACACTTTGAGACCATGACCTTCATCTCCTATTGAAAAATAATGTAAAAAGTTTCATTGAAAAATACCTGTGTTCCTCTTTAGTCCAATGTTTGCATTCTTTGTGACTAATAGTCTCAGGTATTAAGCGCTGTGCGTAGTTGAAAACATCAGCCCAATTAAAGTCATCTTCTTTGGATAAAATTTCCTCTAATGACATGGTAGAAGCAGAGAGAACATGATTCGACGCCATGGGAACAACTTGAGTAGTAATAGGAACCTAGGAAAAAAAAATGTCCTTAACTAAAATACCAAAAGACAAGACATATATACATGCATGTTTGGTCTTATATAAGAGAGAAATATTAATGAGATATTTAATAACGAACCATAAGTCAATTTTAATGCTACAAATTTATAATTTTTTCTTACTTATTATATATATCTTTAATTTTTTTCATCTCTACCACTATAACCGATATTTGAATGACATTTTTGAGAAAAAAAATTATTTTTTTATAAATTAAAAACAATTCATAATTAAATTAAGAATATTTTTAAAAAATTATATAAATAAAAAATTATTAGCTAATTTTTATAAACATCTATATTTTTATAATTTTTTCATCTACATTTAAATTTAAAATTTAAAAATAATATAATTATTATAATTAAATATTAATTTAATATAATATTTCAACTTAAAATGATAATAAGTTTATAAGAGTTTTAAAATTTTATAAAGATTCTTTTGAAGATTGTTATAAAACTAATTTCTTTTTTAAAAAGTTATAAGATCAAAATTAAAATTAAACTAACTTTAAATAAATTAAAAAAAAAATCTAAACAAGTATTGTATATTTTGTAATAAAAATAAAAACTCGTTTAGAATTGTGTTAATAAAATTAAAAATGTGATTTGATAAGTTAATGAAATAGTTGAGAATATTTTGAGCAATACATACAATATAGTTTGAGGTTTATAAGGTTTAGGCATGAATCTTCGTTAATACATAAAACAATTAAAATATAATTACTTATAAAATACAAATATATTTTGTTATACAACAAATTAATTTAAAGATACTCTGACATACAAAATTGACTTAAAATAAGATTTAGACTTCAATGATAATAATATCTCTAATTTTTTAATTCGTTGAAATATTTAAAGTAATATATGAAAAAAATTAAAGAAAAAAATAAGAAAACTAACCTGATGAGATCGAGTGGTGTCCAAGTTGGAATGAGGAGGCAGGGAAGACATTGCTATTCATATGATTTTGAAACGATGAAAAATTATGATTATCAATCAAAATACTTTTCTCTTAATGTGTTTTTTCTCAACATGCTCTTTTATCAATTTATAGGAATTGTAGAACATGAATTGATTTATTATAGATAACATTTATCTTATAATAAAGATTTAAATTGTATTTTTTTTTTATGTTTTTATGTAAAAACTAAATAGTCAATGTTTTGAAATTAATAAAATAAGTATAATTGTTATTTGAAATTAATAAAAAAAAATATTTTTGATTAATAAGAGTTTGTATAAATATCTTGAATATATATATATATATATATATATATATATTTTAAATGATATATATATATATTTATAATTGTTTGTAATGTAGTTCTTAAAATCATCTTCTTTGAAATAATATTTTCTCTAATGATATAGTAGAAAACATGATTGTGAGAATCTCTATATTTCACCCTTTTGCAAACGATCCATTAAATCATAATAATATAACTAATGAATTAAAGTGAGATGTCTAATAATTTTTTAAATAATTTACTCATTCCTTAAAAATGAGATTGAGTGGTATCTGAAACGTTGTTATTCCTATGATTTTGGAAGGTGGATAAATAATTATTGTCAATCAAGATTATTTTTCTTTTCTTTTTTAAGGAAATGTACAATAGTTTGCATGCATCAATTTACTCAACTTTTTATTTTTGATTTTTAAATGACTTAATATTTTAAAAATAAATGGCATAGTTTATTTTTTTTTCTTTTGGATTAAAGTAAATATTTAGGTTGTATTTTCTCTGTCTTTTATGTAAAAACTAAATAATAAATTTATTAAAGGAAAATCTTGATTTTAAATTAATAATGATAAAAGAAATTAAATTTTATTAAAAAATATCTATTAAAATAAAAGTTTGTTAGGTAGTTTGATGAACTTTAACATTTATTTCTTTCAGAAATAGTCTATATTTTTTTTAAAAAGATAATTGTAGATTAACTTTATGATAAAATAATAAATTTAGATTAAAAGATATTTGAAAGGAAAAATATAGATACTAGAAATATCTTATTTTATGTAGGATTTAGATAAACATTTTGGTTAAAGATTGTGTCGGAGATGTTTTATTTATCTACGAATTAAACAAAATTGAATTTATCTAAATAAATTTGAACATGTAGGTATTTTATCTTATTTAAAAAAAAAGTCAAACATGTGAACGTTACAAGTTTATTATCTGACTTTATTTTAAATTTACAATTTATTTTTAAATTAAAGTTAAATAATAATATGGTATATGAAATTCACATATTAATGGGTTTGGCTAATGTTACATGAGATGATTATTGAAATGGGCTTCAGAGGTTTGATTTTCAGTTTCATTCATGAAATAAAAAATAATAAAATTGCTAATATAGAGTATAAACTTCGACCAGGACACCTATTAAAATGTATTTAATTTTTAATATTTTTTTCATAAAAAATAAATTTTGAGATTTAAAAATATAAAACAAAATTAAAAACAACTACTCTTATTCTCACTCTTATTCTTTTCTCACCTCTCTCTCACTCTTCTAATTAAAAATATTAAATTAAAATTTTATAAATAAGTCTTTAACTAACTCAAAAATATATAAATTTAATATATATATATATATTTAAAAATATTATATGATAAATTTTAAGATGATACAAATATTATTATGTTATAACTATTAAAAAATATATTTTTTAAAATAATTTTTTAATAACTACGTTTTAAATTATTTAATCTAACTAATCATTAAACCAACCTAATTATAAGTATATTAAATTATTAAATAAAAAATAAATCCAATCCATAAATATTTGATATTTTTAAATAAAATGAATAATTAATTTATTATTTTAAAATAATTTTAAATTAGTTATTTATTATCATTATAGATAAAATTAATTATTGTCATCATAATTTAAAATAATTAACTCATATTTTTGTAGTTTTAATATTAATTTTAAAAAATACTCTAAATTTTTTTATTAAATTTCAATATGTAAAGATGAAAAAACAGGTTAAATTTCAAAAAACTAATTCAATATTCCACTAAAAAATATAAGATAAATTGATAATTTTAACTTATTAATTTATTTAGTATAGTCCTATTTAGCTTACTTAACAAGTTAACAATAAGATAAATTGACATATTAGTTTACTTTTAAAAAAAATTATATATTAAAATTAAAATAATTATAATATAAAATATTATATATACTTTTGTTATGTTATAAAATATATAAATATAATATAATATTATAATTTATATTATAAATATTAATCAATTAAATTTATATTATTAATTATAATTAATTATTTTAATATATAAATATAATAATTTTTTAAATTTATTTAATAATAATATTAATTAATAAATAAAAGTTTATAAATAATTCATATAATTAAAAATATATTTTAAAAAAAATACATATACAAAATTTTTATGAGTTAGTTCTATAATTCGTCATCCCATTCTTTAACTAGATGGATTTGAGTTTGTAATTCATCTAATTATTATAACAATTCAACCTTCCCTTTATTTGTTTCGGACTAGTGGTAGAACTTTAATTAAAATAATAAAAGAAATATAAAATAACAAAAGATTTAAAAGGTAAATATAAAAAGTAAAAATAAAGAATGAAAAAAAAAACTTAAGAGTAATTCTATTTCAATAATTCTTTTTTTCATAATTTTATTTTTAAAATATATTATTTATATAATTTATATTTTCACTTAATCTGTATAACATGTTTTAATTTATTAAATTTTTTATTTTTAAAATTTTAAATTATAAAGGACTTAAAAATTTAAAAAATGAAATGGCATAGTTTTTTTTTTCGGATAAAACTTATTTGAAAGTAAAAATTTAGATTGTATTTTCTCTATGCTTATGCTTTTATGTAAAAACTAAATATCAAATTTTCGAAATTAATATAATAAGTATAATAGTTATTTTAAACTAATAATGATAAACAAAAATTCAATAAAAAATACCTATATAAATAAGAGTTTGTACGAATTTTAAAATTTATAAATACCTTAGTTTTGAATATATATATATATATATATATATATATATATATATATATATAATTTTTGTAATATAGTAAGAAATAATTAAAATCATTTGTTGTAAAAAATAAACCTTAAAGTAATAATAATAAAGATGTGGATGAAATTTGCAAGGTTTCTTATGAATTGGGACCGGTTTGGTTCTTCTTTTCTCTGAATCGTCATCTTCGTCTGTTCCATTAGGGTTTCCTCTCTCACACGGAGCTCCCAATTGAAACTCATTTCGCAATCCCTCCATACGTTGTCGTTCCGAAAACTAGTGAATTCCAAAGAATTCGGCTGCCCCGCGTGATACGGTACTAATATTCGTTCCTTTGTCTGAAATCATCGTAAGGTTCAATTTTAACCGTCTTTTTCGTTACCCTTTGTTGCTGTGTTGTTGGTTTGTTGTGTTGTAAATTCTCTGGATGAGTTTCAGTAGAAGCTGTTATTATGAAAAATGACGTAGTTTTCCTCTTACATGTGTTTTTTTTTTTGTGTTGGGGTGCATAATTATTTTGTTTATTTATGTTGAAGCGTGTTGTGTATGCAGAAAAGAAAAAATGAAATTTGGAGGTTGAGGAAATAGGTTTTGAGGGGTTTGGTACTTGTGTCAAATAATAAGTATTTCAAAATTGCTGAGGCAATTGTGTATTATTAGAGTTTGAATTGTGATATTGGATTTTAATTTGGATACTCTAACAAAGGTAAATAACTTTTATTATCATCTTACGATTTGTTGCTTTGTTTTTTAATTAGTTTGATGAATGGCAAGTTGACTAAACTTTGAGATGTCATATTCATAATTATTTGGCAACGATTCATATTATTGGATAGCGGTGTAAAACGTTTGTACATTGAGGGAGCATTCGCACTGGATTCGTCGGATATATGGCAGAGTGCATAAGAACTTGAGACTGGTGTAATGCAGTCTGAATTCCAATTATTCGACAATGAATGTATTCTACTTAAGAAATTTCTGATTTCCTCTTGGTAGTACAAAGCTGAACTGTGAAGAGTAGAAGGTGATGACAAATTAATTTCTTATTTGCATTGAACAATATAAACTGTTGACAATCTAATCATCACTTAACTATAAAGTTATATCAGTGGAGCTCATCTTCAACCTTCTTCTCATGATAACTGTAAGCTGACCATGGAATGTGGAAAGCCTTCCACCCTCCCCTCAACCTAACACTTTTTTCATTAAAAAAACAAAACTATAAATAATCTATGTTGAGTGCTCAGTCTTGGCTCTATTTTTTGTTGTGTTTTGATCTACTACTATCATCTTGGAAGTTTGTCGGAGACTTTCTCTGCCTTGTGATATTGGTTAATGACATTATATTTTATTATCTTCAATTTTACTTATAAATTTAGTTTTTCTAAAGTGAAATTTTGTTTTCATGCCAGTTCTCTTCCTGTTGGGTAATCAATGTTGGCTACTAGTGCAATTGCATCTTTGCCCGTACTACCACCAGGTAATGATAATTTCTAACTCTTGTTTGCATTTCAATGTAAACTTGTGTAATTGAATAAAGAGTTGGGGAAATTACCTTTTTTTCGTAACTTTTATTTTGCATCTGCATCACAATGCCTGGACAGAAATCCTTGGAGTAATATTCATTGATAATATGTGCTTTCTCATTTTACACGTAGAAAGCCTTTAAGCTCTTTTATACTTTCTATGTGAGATCCTGGCAACAATAGTTTTTGGTTCTGCGAGGCCAGAAGGCCACATTGAGCAATCGTGATTGTATAGATGTCTCCCTGGAAACAAATTGATGCATGTTTCATTGGATTGTTGATTGCTTTATGATCCAAGCTAACATATCAACGTTTAAACTCTCATTTTTAACACATCCAATTTCATGTAAAATTGTATCCAATTTGTTAATTGTACAACGGATTGGATTCGGTTTGAGGTGAAGGTTTAGTTTAGGCTATCCCATTGTGTGCATTTGTGTAAAATTAACTGCTTTCATATACATTTTTTACCTATATGTGACCTTGTCCATTCCCTAAATCAACTCCATTTATTCCTAAATTCAATTTTCTAAATTTTGCATTGATAGTGAAGTGATTGTATTTTTGTTAACAGTGAGAAGATGTGGCCAACATATTGAGCAGAATGTTGTTACCTCATTGAGCTTACCAAGACCATCACGAACTACTAATAATTCAATATCTTCAAGTTGTGCACGGTTTCCATTTGGTACAAGATCTCGTTCTACCCAGACAGCAAATATTATATGTGCTGCAGCTTTGGTAATGTTCTTTACTTTCTTAAGTCCATCTTGATTCATTTTTACACCTTCCGGTAGCTTATAAGTACCGTAACTTGTCCATTAGACAATGGACGCGTCTATTTTTTATTTGATTCTTTAACCTTTTTAACTAAACCTTATTAACTAAAAAAGATTAAAGAATCAAATAGAAAGAATTCTAGAAATTATATATAGAATCAATCAAATATTTAGAATAAAAGAATCCAAAAATAGAATAAAAAAGAAAAATCAATTGAATATATATATATAACTAAAACTTAATTAAGAAATGAAAATGAATAATGGACAAATTCATTAATAATTACTTGGAACATATTTTATACATGGATCTTGTTTCTTTTGTTGTCACTTCTGAGGCATATAAAGTCTAACCACTTGGGGAAAACTTAATTTGAGGCAAATTGTCTTTCATAGCCGTATAGGACATGGAATAAATTACTGGAAAAAATCATTGTATATTGATTTCGGACTTTGTAGCATTCTACCTTTTAAGGCATTAAAGATCATACCATTAATTTGCATCCAAAATTGAGATGTTTTGATGTGTTATCTTTCTTCTGTTTGAAACTATCTTAGCTTAACAATTTCTATACTTTTAGTCCCTTACCCTGCAGATATTTTTCATGCTATTATTCCCCATTTTTATCCTAAGAATATTAAAAAAAATGTGACCTATTAGTTGAAATTTCATATTTGAATACACGTATCATAGTAATAAAAAACAGAATCTTTTATCGATTCTCCATTTACTAACGCCTTCTGGTATATGCAGAATGCAAGATGTGGTGCAGAGCAAACCCAAACTGTCACTCGCCAGGCTCCAACGATTACTCATATTCCTGGTAATTGCTGATGACCATCATCCTTATTGATTTTTTGAGTCCTTTTAGACAGGCCACATCCCTTGTTTTTTGGCAATTTATTTGTCTATTTTTAACTTATAATTAAGGACTTATTTATGTAGAAATTAAGTCCATTTCTTTTTTCCTTTCTTTCTAAAAGTGTTTATGGTGAAGTTTCTTCAAACAAGCCTCTATTTTCTCCCTTCAAAAAGAAGTATCCTACTCTTAAACATAATTGAGCAGAAGTCCTTCAAAATAATGCTTTGTGCCACTCGTATGAAATACCTAAATGTTATTTGTTACTAAATAGACTCTTTACTCTTATCAAGCATGTTCTACATCGTCCATTTAATTTAATTTTCAGGCAAGGAGAAGTCACCACAACTTGACGACGGAGGAACTGGATTTCCACCTCGTGATGACGATGATGGGGGTGGGGGAGGAGGTGGAGGCGGAGGCAACTGGTCTGGTGGATTTTTCTTTTTCGGGTTTCTTGCTTTTCTTGGCTTCTTAAAGGATAAGGAAACTGAAGACACATACGGGGAGGACCGAAGAAGGTGAAGAATTGGCCACCACGATGCGTACTTGCATTAAGTATTCTTTAAATTTCCTCTTTCATATATACATACGGTAGATTTACGTTGGTCAACTGAGGTTCTGGGCTTGCGTAAGATGATGTAATGCGCAGAATTTTGTATGTTGCAAATTAAATTTCATTGGAAACTTTAGTATGTGAAGAAATATCGTATTAATCAGTATCAAATTACATCTGTATCTGGTTACAAATTAGCGTGAAACTTCGATGCACTTTTTTCCATTCTCACTTGGAGGCGCACTTTGATGAGAAAAATTACACAACGATAGAGCATGGAACACAACATTAAACGTTAATTGACACTTCTTTTCTGTCAAGGCACCATCTACTTAGAAGCATTTCATTGTATCAAATATAACCATAATAACAGTAATCATTCTATATTTTAGGATTATTCATCTTTTTCGTATGGTAAAGATGTGATATTCTTGATGAATAAAAGTTAGTGGATCTTAATTTTTTTATCATAATGCCCTTTCAATATGGTATCAAGAAACGTTCCATCACCTTTCGAAATATATCTCGATTATTTACACAGATTGATATGAAAAGAAAAATATTTGACGATTTTAAAAAGATTGATGATCAAGATTTAAAAAATTACATTGACAAGAACAATAAATATATTAATTTAAAAAATTACGCAGATTTTTAAAATTAACCGGTTCTTTGGTTTCTAACTAATTTTCATGTTTTCCCATTCCAAGAGTCATCTGGCTCAACAGGGTCATTCAGTTCCATTCATACATGACATTTCAATACACCATGCTAACAAAATTCCATGAAGACCCACAAGTGAGAAAATTGAGAAAAAACAATAATTAACCTTTATATAAATTAAAATATAGTGTTCAAAAGTTTATATAAATTACAATATAATGTTAAAAAGTTTATTTAAGCTTATATTTTTTAAACTTACTCATTATGAAAAATTTTTTTTGTAATTTTTCTCTTCTAAAATTGTTTATCCCTTCAAATTGTTCTGGAAGAATAGTCAAGTTCAAATATATCCTAGGTCTTAGCACTTTTTTTCATTAAAATTCCTTCCTTTCTTTTGGATTATACACAAAAATAACCATGGTGCAATTCTAACGGCCCCCCTCCCTTTTTCAAACAAAAAGGTACCCTGCTGTTTAGAAATGAGCGGTCGAAAATAAACAAAAAGAGTCAGGAAGAAATAGAATATCTTGGTTTTCTATTAAAACCCCCGGGAAACTAATTAAAGGCTCGTAACATAATACGAGGAAAATAGAAAGAAAATGTTGTAAGCATTAAACTACTGTTAGCCTGTGTAGCTATCGGTGCATGACCACTGATCATTTTGTTGGCCTAGTCCATGTTGTCTCCGAGGTGATGGCGTTACCATAGTAGATCTGCTTTGTGCTATCATCCCAGTAAGCCTGACGCCAAAATGGCAAGAAGTTTATTAGTTGAGAATACTCAAGAAAAGTGGTAACCCTAGTTCAGTTGAAAAAGAACCCATTCTCCTCAAATCAAATTTCTACCTCCAAAATTTTGGTTGGAAGTGACGACAACAGATATTGCATCATTTCACAGACTATTTTTAAAAAAGTTTGACCAGGTTGCATCACTACGGAACAAATGGCCTCTCAACAATATTGGCCCTATAGTCAATCAATCATTTGCAGCTAGTCAAAGAATATATATATATATATATATATATATATATATATATATATATATATATATATATATATATATATATATATAAAGAGATACAAACAATCCATGAGGGGACATCAACCAAAACTCATGCATGAGAATCTAAAAAGAAGGCATAGCAGATCGATTCCTAAAGGTGTTTTGAACTACGAAAATTTGGTGCAATTTCCCACCCTACAAAAGATTGTCTACAGCCTAATTCACAAACTAATATACTACATGAGATTTTTCTAAACAAAGCACATTAGAAAGGATAATGGAAATTCACCTGCCAATTACTTGGGAGACCCTTGGCGAGTTCACTCAGATCAGGATGTTGCTGGTTCTGCTGAATAGAATCTTGAGGTTTACCAACAGATTCCTTTGCTGCTTGTGCTCTCTTGCGTTTGACCTTCTCTCGCCTGAATAGAACAAGAAATCTCATTACTGTGTGCAAGATGAACAATGGGTGGAAGTGAAATTAAAGGTTTCCGGAGTTCCATACCAATCACCACCTAGAGGCTGAAAATTAGCATTATCTTTGGCCTCTCCACTTGCAATCTGCTTGGCACGCCACTCCTAAAATCAAAGAAAATTGAGACAAAAATTAGGAAAACTGCAATGTTTAGTAAAGGTAAGTTCCACATGCAAACCTCTATTTCCCTTTGCCGCTTTCGTTCTAAGACCTCAAACACACTATCAGGTTCTTCCTCTTCTTCAAGCATCTCCTCTTTAGCTGCCTTCCACTGATAAAGATAAACAACAGACATAGAGCAGAAAGGACAAATATTAGAAACTAAGATCAATTTCACATTGTAGAGGAAATCATGCTTCGAATGAAATAAGAAAATAATTTTTTTTTTTTTAATTTTAAAAAACTTACCTTGTCTACCAGACTCGAAACCTTTTTATTAGACTTTAACGAGGATCCAACTGCAACTGCTCGCTTCCTACTGCGTACAACTGAGAACAAGGAAAGGAATATTAAGTAATCAAGAATAGCAGGAATGCTATTTATCAGGTAGCTTTACAAGGGCACAAACAGCATTCGACAATAACATTTTAAATTTACAACGGTGAACAAATTAAAAAACTTAAACAAGTGTATGCAGATGCTTGAAAAATAAATAAATCTAATTATAATCAATAGATATCAAGAATACAAAAAATGCATTGTCTTAAGTGCACTAATTGAAAACGTCATACATGAGTTAACCTCAATCCACAAATGGAAAGGAGTGCTGACAAATAAACCACTCACATTACTATCAGCCCATCAAAAGGAGGGAGGAAGAAAGTTCAAACAACGCTACCAAGTAATTGTAATTGAATATAATCAATTCTGAAAAATATAATATAATACCTAATAAACCTAGGAATGTGTTCTAGAACCCTTAGATTGCCAACAAAACCAATCAGTCTCTCTCAACTTTACAAGCTAAATTTGAAACAGGATCAATCAAAAAGGAATAAACTTGCTCAACATCCGAACCTTTTGTTTGGGCTTTAGAACCTAATGATGAGGCATTATATTCTGCAGCAGATTCAGAAGTAGCCGGAGGTAATGAGACACCTTCATCAACTGAAACAGTAGCAGGAGCATGGATGCTAGATGAGGTGGACGGAGCATCACTAGATACCCAGTTGGCTCCACCAACACCAGAACCGTTAATGTTGATAGCAGGTATGGACTTTGAATCAGCTCCTGAAAAATTAAATGAAACCACATTGATCTTTAAAAAAAAAATGTTGGAATTACTCAGTCGGACAAGAATATATACAGTAATAGAAAAATAGAAACTACTTCACTATCTACATGGGAACAATACAAACGTACCATCTTGAACATCATAATAAGTAACAGTGTCTATTGGATTGATCATAACTTGGGGATTTTCACTATACATGTTAGGAACTGCACTATTATAGTAAATATGTGCAGGGGGCATAGGAACTTGTCCATATATATTACTGCTTGGGACTTCAGCAGCTGTCTGACCATAATATTCAACAGCAACACCAGGATAAGATAGAGTATATTGGGCATAGGAAAGGGGTTGCCCTGTCTCTGCATAAGATGGTAGAATACTATACGAAGGTGCTAGTGGATCACCCGGTGGAGGTGGCACCTGATCATCATCTGGTGGTGGTGGTGGAGGTATGTGCTCATTATCAGGGGGTGGAGGAGGAATCCATTCATCATCTGGTGGGGGAGGAACAACAAACTCACCCTCCTCAAGCAATACAGAATGATAGTCAATAGGTGGATTCAACTGAACCACTTGATCTATTTGCACAGAATCCTTTGCAACAGGCACATCCGTGACAATAGTATTGTCTGATGAATTCATATCTTCAACTTCCATATCAACATCCATATCAAAATCTTCCCCGGTGATATACCCCTGTTTATGAATTGGTTCCTGAGGATTTATAATTGCTTCAACTTTTGAATTAATTTCTACACCTGTTTCCATATGACTACCAGGAGAACTAGACAATGCAACATACTGACCATTGGTAAAAAATTTATTGTTGATATCTTCTACAACTACAGCCGAAGCCTCAACCTGAGATCCACTAGAAATATCAGACGTTAGAAGGCTCCCTTTGTTCATATCATGGTCTACTTCAGAATCATGTACCATGTCATTCAGTTGCTCACCCAATTCTTCAGTGACAGGGACATGTTTATCCTCAACTTCATCATGTGAAGACTTACCAGTTTCAAGTAAATCTTCGTTGATTAAACTTTCAAGTAATTTTATCTTTGTGTCAGAATGCACCCAGAAAGGAAGCAAAGATGATCCATATGAAGCAAGACACCTAATATCAGAGAGCCTAATCTCAATCTCTACGATGTAATTCGACAAGAAGTCCTGCCCTTGCAAATTTTCCTTTGACCTGTGTAGTATTCTATTAGTTACTTAAATCTCAAACAGGCAGAAAGAAGCTTTTCACACTATGAAATTGATAATCAAACCAAATACTGAAAATAAATAAAATGCAGTGCAGTGCAGCTAAAGTTATATGCATACTTTTTCAGTGATTCCAGCCTCTTTAACAAACTCTCACACTGTTTCACAAGACGAGAAGGAAAATCAATGTCCACTTCCTGTTTTTCACCACTAATCTTTGAAACAGATGAATGATGTTCATCATCAGATAAACTCATATGTCCATCATCTCTTGTCAATTCATTTCCATTAACATCAGAAGCCTGATTTTGGTTTCTACATTCAACACTACCTCCATTCATTTGGGACCCATGACCATACAACTCTTTATGAGAAGGCATTGTGGCTTCCAAAGAAGTGTTAATTGTGAAAGCAGCAGGAGTGTCCTGCATCATAGTTGAGAGCACATTGGAACTATCACCAACAGCATCACCCTCTGCTTTTTCATTGACAGAAGCATGAGGTATTGACTTATTAGCCAACTGATCTGCATGAGCCAAGACCTGGGGCACTTCCCATGAAGTTTCACCGGTTTCAGTGTTCCAGTAATAATAGCTTTGGCTTTCCTCATGCATCACCATCTTCCACCCCAAACCAACATCAGTCACAACTCCTTCATCAAAACTGTCAGAAGCATAAATTTGGTCTTTGGAAACCATTCCATTTTCCAAATTACCACTAACACCACCACTTTCACTTCTTTCACCGTATCCGACATCAAGTGAAGTAGAATTTTGCATTGCATTTTGCTGTCCATTATTCTGAGGAACAATATCTGTAGAGACACCGATGTCCAAATCTTTGGAACCTTCCTCAAGCTCACCCTTAACCTGACAAAAATGAAACAGCATAAAGTGTAAATAGTAAATAAAAGCATAGCTTATTCATTATAGGATTAAGCACGATACACATATCAAACAGACAATGTATCCTCTAATTTGTCATGACTGGATACAGGTATATACATGTATCAAATAATGCAATGAAATGTAAAAAATGAGCCACACAACTCCTACTTCTAGATAATGCTGAATAAATATGAATATCATACTATATTCTATTATGAACCAGTTATGGTAAACAGAATTCCAGTCAAAAGAAACACTCATAAGTTGTTGCAAATATAAGCCTCAAATAAAAAATTAAATTACAGCATCAGAAACGGGACCTCAAGCAAAGGACACTAGAAAATAAAAAGGACAACAATTGAAAATTTTACACATTTACTAACAAATGATAAAGAAGACACGGGAAACTTGTAATTTAAAGCCACCAGGAAAATAGGATATCACTCTTTCAAATAACTGGAGCATATTATGCTTAATCCATTGAAGGGGAATTCAAATAAAACACTAACATTGAACCAAGCCCAGTAGTGGCACACCCTCCTGCTCACAAGAGATTCACTTGAGAAGATTGTTAAGATAAAAAATATCAATTTACGCACCACAAATATGAAGCTCAGACACATCTAGTATGACAAAATTCAAGTTTTGATTTAGAATACAAATGTAGGTAGTAGAATACCTCTTCATTGAGCATGGGGCTTTGCACATTTGCATGATTAAGCCCTTCGCTTGATCCGTCATCTCCTTCATCATCACTATATTGCCCAAGTAACAGCAAGGGATTCTGTGGTTGTTGACCTGAAGACAAGATGGTAGCATGTTAGAAACTACAGAAATGCTGGATTATTGACCATGCAACAGCAAGAATATTGGAAAAGAATCCAAAAGAAAATTAAAAATTTGTTAAAAAAGGGTTCTACAGTTGACAAGACAAAAAAAAAAACTTATAGGATGAAAAATAGATTCACAAGCATTTTAGCTTGTATCATCTGAGTCACCTGTTACAATGGGAAATGTCAGTTAGCCATTTAGCAAATAAAGCCAAAAACATATGAACCGATAAAACTTTTTACCGTCTGAACCTCAGTAATCCCTTGATGCAGCCAAAGGGGGAAAAACGAGATTAGGAGTCATTCATATTTCAAATTGGCAGGGCCGACCTCATCTGAAATGAATGTTCACAGAACCACACAGCATCCCTACAGTCTGAGAACAGTTTCTTGGGGCAAACAACAAAACATGCCTTGTATATATAGATCCATATTTCCACCAATTTAATGTTGATCACTCATGTCCTCTAAATATAGTCCTTTTTTGAGAAAACTGACAGAACCCACCTGAAGAAGAGGGTGAATTGGGTAACCCATCACGATGTTGAGAATCAGTATCTCCTCCAGCATCACCATGTAGAGTGGAGCCACCCAACTCTCCTGAAGAGGTATTAGATTAAGAAATGCCATGATATGTAAACAAACTGTGGTCAAATTTTAAAACCATTTCCATAATTTGATTCTTAGAGAATTCCCTAGCATCATTTATGAAAGGTTCATTAACTCAGCACTCAAAGCACAGCTTTTCAAAATCAGTAATCTACTACAGCAAAACATGTCTTTTGCACAGCTCTACTGGTGATGCACATTTTGGGAGCATTGCACTCGCACCAATTATTTTTAAGACGCATACATAATACATGGATACGGAAAGTGCCCAAATGTACTATTTTATTCGAAATTCACGTACAAATCATGTTAATTTCATTCTCAATTAAACAAACAAATATGAAAAAAAAAAACCTAGAAAGCAGTAATAGTACAAATTTAACAAAAATAAAAACCACAATCAGCAAAAATAGGAACCAAAATCAGGGTTTTTGCATTCGGAGTAATAAGCCAAAACAATCAAAGGTTAAAACATTTTCAAAATTCAAAAAACGAAGTTACAGGAAGCAAAGATAGTGACTACCAGAGGGTTCCGCGAAAAGATCGAGTTTGACTCTGCGACCGGCGTTGCTGAGAGCTGCGAGGCGACGCTCTTTTCTCTTCCCCATTCGGTTAGCTCTTCGAATTTCTATTCAACAAACGCTATGTGGATGAAACGGAGCTTCTGCTTTTAGGGTTTGCTGTATTTTTTTAACATTTGAGTCTCAGAAAAACCAAAAACCAACAAAGAAGATGATAACGAGTCGGGTCACATTATACGGGTCGACTAACTCGGATACGGGTTTCATGTGGTTACGTGTGAGACTCTTAAAATAGAATTTTTAATAAGAATTATTTAAGATTAAAATTAAATATTTTATTATAGTTCACATAATTTATTTATTTAAAACTTAATCAGAATTATTTATTTAAGTATTTTTTTAAATTTATATAATTTTTTATTTTTATTCGTAGAGATTTTCTTAGTACGTATCTTCACAGACGGACGCCACGTGGGGAGTCAAAGCGTTTTAAGTTTGACTGCCTGCAACATTTTCGGTCCGTTAAATCCATGTTAGGTATTTCTTTCCATGTTAAATCCATACTAGGTATTTTTTTCTAATCACATTAAAAATAAATAAAATTATATTTATTAATAATTTATTAAAATAATTTTAATCTATCAATAAATATATTATATTTTTTTACTCATTCATTGATTATTAAGATAATTATTGAGAGTGTAATTAGAAAAAACCAATTATAATATATTATAAACTGAAAATATAAATTATTTTGATACAAATTAAAAATGTTAAAATTGCACATAATTTGAGACGAAGGTAGCAATATTTTCATGGAAGTAGTATTTCTGTTTTATTTTTTAATTTATTTATATTTTATATTTAACTAATTTTACTCTCATAGTACGAATTTTACTTTAGATAAAAATATATTTAGTTAAGGTATTAATGATTAGACTAAAAAAATGAATAGGTAGATGAAAAATAAATCTTTAAATGGATATTTTATCCTTAAAAACTTTAAGATTTATAAATTTTACATGTTTTAAGATTTAAAAACTTATAACTAAGTTTTCTATATTTTATAACAAATTTCATTTTGTTTTTTTTTCTAAATTTAATTAACTTATTTATAGTTTATTCGAAATTTTAGTTTCTATTTTTTTATACAATTTTGATGATTAAATATTTCGTTATGAGGTTGAATCTTTCTTTTAAGTAAACATCGAGTCTTTATCAAACTATATTCAGTTTTTATTTTTTTCAATCCTATAAAATAATTATGAGAATAATTAGTTTCTCTTTTAAATCATTGTGTAATATCTAATAAACTTATGAATGAAAAATAAACAAAATTGCAATTAATAAAAAAAAGATTAAAGTTACATTGAAAAATAGAAACCAAAATTACAAATAATTAAAAGTTAATAAGAGAATAATATCACAAGAAAAAAAATTACATAAGAAAAAAATACAATTAAACAATAAAAACTATACTATTATTATTAAAATGAACAAATATTTGTTTGATTTATTTCTAAAACTGAAAATACTAGCTCTGATTTTTAACTTGAATCCCAAGTACTATATCTCATATTTACTACTTTAAAAATAAATAAAAAATTGTCTTAAAGATTTTTAGTTAAATAAAATGAATTAAATTGGTTTTGTTCAAAACAGAATAATTTGCTTTATCCTATAACTATCTTTTAAATAAAACATAAACAATAATGTTTGTGTTGTCCAGTACTATTTCTTTTAGAAAATCAAACACACCTTTTTAACTTTAATAGGAAGAAGACCATGTGACAACATATATGATTAGACATTTAGGAAAGTTTTTTATAAGGTTAATAATGTGTTTGGTCCTCCAAATCATTTCAAACAAAATGGTACAATGCTTTAAATAGTTATGTTATGATTTATTTAAATACAAATAATGGAATTGATAATTGACAAGGATCAAAGCATATCACTTTCAAAAATTAGGTTTAACTTTGCTGCTAGAAATCCCAATTGTTTGATCCTCTTTAGCAAACTTGTGGAGCCTAAAGCTTAGAATAAATAATGGAAAAACATGGTAGTTGCTACTCTTACTTCATCCTAAAAGATGTGCAATTTATGGTTGTCCTATTTAGTTAGGGTTAGTTGTAGGACTAGTAGTTGCAGGACTATTTAGTAATATTAAAAGCTTAATTTTTTATTACATTTTTATTATAGTTTTTTAAATAAATATTTAATTATATAATTAACCCAATTCGATTTTAATAGATAAACCAGTTAATGAGAATTTTAATTGTGAAGTCATTTTGTTATATTATCTATCCAATTATCTTTCATTAATTTTATTTGTAATCACATTCAAATTTGTAAATTACATTTTCTTTTTAAGACATTGTGTCACATATGTGCAACCAATTTTGTTTGTTTCAAAGGCACTATAAAATTAAAGTTTTAATAATTTGGTGAATATACTAATTGATGCCATTAGTTTTAATTTAATTAATAATATAACTTTAGGTCTTAGAGTATATACATATGACAATTATATGATAAAAAAATTATCAATTACATGATAAAATATATGTGAATTAATGATATCAACTTTATAGGTTATAATAATATTATCATATATCTTTTAAATAATATATACTATATTATATACAAAATAAATACCAGTTCGTTCTAGTTTCAGATTAAAAAATAATATCATAAATATTTTTTTAAAAACACATTTTATTTACCTCTCATTATTATTTAATCTATTTCATTATCTACTATTACTAATATAAAAATAGTTGTGTAAATTATACTTTTTCTCTTTTAAACACATTATTTATTTCTACATATATAATCTATCTCATTATCTATAATTCTTAATAAAGAATTTTGATTTTGTAAATAAATTTAACCAAAATATTTTATAATTGTTTTTCTTATTATTTTATTAACTATCTTTAATAATTTCTTACAATTTTGTTAATATTTTAATAACTATTTAATGATTTTTTTAATTAGATAATTTTATCTTTTATCAAAATAAATAACTTCATTATTTAATAAAATACATATCTATCTAACCTTTTCACTCAAATCTCTGAAAGAAATATTTTCTAACAAAGTTATGGGATGAAACAGAATTTTGTAAGATCCTGTTATTACTTCTTAGTTTGAATGTTTTATTGATAACGTATCTTCAATTTATTTACTTTCCAAAGGTAAGTTTATGATATGAAAAATTCAGTTACCCTTTGCTATAAAATAAGTTGTCAGAAGTTCTTGTGGGTTGTACTCTATCTGTCATCGACGATACCACTTGCGTCACCTTCACAAACACATTCCTTCCAATCATCCATCTCACTTCAACAATTTTTTTTTAATTCCATCCAAACCCTTCACTTCTCTAAATCTTCCACGCACTTTCTTTTTCCTTTTCTGTTGCCTGATCTTCTGCTCCAAGGTCTGATTTTTTTCCCTGCCCTCTTTCGTTGTTTGCTTTTAAATCATGGTTGAAGCTGCATAACATGATTTTACGGTGTATTTTGATGTGGGGTTCTCGTGTTTTATGTAAATTTCGTTTCTTTTTTATTGGGTGTTGATTTGGTGCCGGTTCACATAGATCGATGGGTTTTTCATGCATGTGGGGTGGTGGATATGTTTGAGCTGTGAATTGTCCTGAATTCAGAATCTGGTCACCTTTAAAGTTTGTAAATTTATTTTTATGTGGGAATGTTAAAATTTGAATCTGGTGTTGTTCCGAGGCGATTTTGAGAGGTTTTATTTGTGGGGCTGGATGTGGGATTATGGATCCGAGTTTACCAATTATCACTAATTTTTATGTGTGTGAGTGTTTTAAAGATTACGGATTTACTGAAAGTTTGGTTTTTTATATGGGCATGTGACCAATGTAGCATCAAGCCATCTAAGGTTTTGTTTGTTTCTATTTTTGTTGTTGGTTATGTATGGTTCTATCTTGAGTTCCTTAATCTTTAATAATTTTTGAAATACGTGTGGCAATTTACTTCAATATCCAAACGTTTTGGATTAAGGGGTGTCAATAGATATACATACATACATCATTGAAACGTGAATTTGTATGCATATTTTCATGTGATTCAAAGTGAAAGGAATAAAGCATTCCACAGTTGATTGCCTTTGTTTGCTGATGCTTTTAGTACGTTGTGATAAGTACTTCCAATTTTAAATTGATTCTGATTGTGATTAAAATGTGAAACTAGTGGTGTTGCTTTATTTTCAACTTGAGTACCTTCTAATATGAAAATGTCATCGATATTATGTTTCAAGTCTGAAACCAGGTTTCTTTTCTCCATTGTTACCTTTTCAGATCTTGTCATTTGGGATTGTTCACTGGAATTGGAAATGGTTAAAAGGTTCGCTTGCCTTGTGCCTCTTTATGATGACTTTATGAAGGATGAACTAAATGGAATTTCTCACTAATTTATTCTTGGAACAGTTATGGAGAGTTTTGATTTGCAAAAGATATCATGTTGCAGTGCTTAGAGGGACTTAAGTCTTTATTTGCTTCCATATTGAAATGTTGTGATCTGGACATATATAACCAGCCAAGAGGCCTTGAAGATCCAGAACTCCTTGCTAGAGAGACAGTGTGTATGTGCCTAATGCTTATCCTTACTTGATGCTTACTTTGATTAGTTTTCACTTCTGTTCTTACATAGTTAAATTAATTTTAATTTTTCAACCTGAGTTTTGAGTGAGAATATGCACTTCTGAAATCCTGTATCTCCTATTATTCCATCATATTTTGAGGTTATTTAACTAGTGGTGATGAACAAGAAAAGAAAAGCAACATTATAAAAGATATGATTATTTTGTTTGTATTGCTGGGTTCTATTGCCTTAACATTGTTGGTAGGAATAAATACTTAATGTATGTACTGAGGAATAGCGATAAATTTGCTTGTGTATGCAGTCAGTGTTAGTGAAATAGAAGCACTTTACGAGCTCTTCAAAAAGATCAGCAGTGCTGTTATTGATGATGGGTTGATTAACAAGGTTTGTCTGTATTGTTGTTGGTAAACTTTGTGTTTTGGGCATATTATATTTCACATTGTTGAGCCTTTTCCAACAATGAAAGAAAATACATATCTAATCTAAAGTTTTATTTATCATTCTGTAGATATACTGTATATTCTATTCTATTTTGTCATTTACTTTGTTTTGAAGCGTTTAGTTTTAAAAAATCTATTAGATATCAGATGTTATATTCAATTTTAAATATCATTTGCAGGAAGAGTTTCAGTTGGCATTGTTCAAGACAAATAAAAAAGAAAGTCTATTTGCTGATCGGGTATTGCTTTCGTTTCATTTGATTGAGTTCCTACGAAAATATCTTTACTTTGAAGCATGGAAGTCTTTTTGTATGGTTATATGAGGTTATTATACACACATACACAGAGAAAATTGGCTTCTCTGTCTAATGCTTAATGACTGAAATTTTGGTAGTCCTCCCTTTCTTCGATATATTATTGGGCGCAAAGTTCCAAGGCAACCTCTTTTGTTTGTCATCTATATCAATCACCTTGTTTAGTCATGTTTCATTTCTAGATGTTCAGTTGTCTCTCTATTTCTTTTATTTTGGGCCAGGAAAATGGATGCAGACAATTATGGTAGCTCAGATTCTGCTATATACATCTGATGATACTATCATACTGTTTATACATTTTCTTTTTTACATGTTTCCTTTCATTTTCAAGAGAATTCTAGTTCTATACCAGTTTAAACATTTTTTTCAACGTTATATTTGTAATTTTTTCAAAGATTGATTCACATTACTCCTTGTGGTTGGTATCTCATGAACTTTTCTCTAACTCCATCAGGTATTTGATTTATTTGACACAAAGCACAATGGGATACTGGGTTTTGAAGAGTTTGCGCGCGCTCTTTCTGTTTTCCATCCAAATGCCCCTATTGATGATAAGATTGAATGTATGTTGTAAGGATTATTTTTATACAATTATTATTTTAACATGAATTTTCTATATTTAGCTTTTAAATTTAAGAACAAGCACAATGAGGTTCAAGTCTTTAATTTTCTTCACTGACCTTTTTAAATAAACAAAATTAAACCCATATGACATCATGTTTCAGTTTCCTTTCAACTCTATGATCTCAAGCAGCAGGGTTTTATAGAAAGGCAAGAGGTACTTAGTCATTGTTCATCTAATTCTAAACACTTTGCTCTTCATTCCAGACAAGCCTGATTTGTGTGTGACTTTTTCTACAGGTGAAGCAAATGGTAGTTGCTACACTTGCTGAATCTGGGATGAACCTATCAGATGATGTTATAGAAAGTATAATTGACAAGGTTTTATCCCATTCTTCTATCCGTTACATTTTAAAGTCTTAAGAGTCTCATTTTCTCTTTTTGAAAACTCACATGGATGGTTTTAACATTAAATTTTGGATTTCATTAGACCTTTGAGGAAGCAGATACAAAACATGATGGCAAGATTGACAAGGAAGAATGGAGAAACCTTGTTTTGCGTCATCCATCACTTCTGAAGAACATGACTCTTCAATATCTCAAGTAATTCTTGAATTTATATTTTTCTAGTCAATTTCTGCACACTACACTTTCCAACATAGAGATAACGACTTAACATTGACCTTTATGTCTTTGTAACTGCTCATGATAAAATCTTGGTCAAAGAATGGATGAGAGTTGCAAAGTCTAAAGTTAACAGCAGTACATTTTGTATTAATATACTATAACATTATTCTACAAAGGTAAAAGGTATGAATTAGAAAAATCACTTCATATTGAAGGACAACTACTTTGTCTTGTAGTAAATTTAAATTTGGCACCAAAATGAAAACCAACATTGAATCCAGAAAAGGTGTCAGCTTAAATTTCTAGGCGCATAAATGCTAGAAATAGTATGATATAGTTGGCATATAATGATACCCTTTTCAGTATTAAGATTAGTCTCTGAACACTCATTCAGGGATGCATGGTAGTTCAGGTTTCACACAGGATATAGATAATAGAACATTAGATGAACTAGAATGGTAGGTTGATATGTTTGCAGTGAACTAATAACATTTTCCCATTTCTCCTTTGTATTGACTGGTCCTTTCTGATATCCTTTTCTATGTGTTTTGGCAGGGACATTACCACAACATTCCCAAGCTTTGTATTCCATTCACAAGTAGACGACACTTGAAGATAACTTCTCATATGGTTTCATCCTTTGGGCTGCAGGGCCATTTGTGTAGAAAAGGGCATGACACATTTACCTTGCATTTGTTACATCTTTGAATAATATATTTTGTTTTGTGGATTCTCTTGCTGGGTTTCTTTCTCATTTTTGTTTTCCTTCAAATTTCCTGACATATTTGGTTCCCATTTTTCATAACTAGGATTTCAAAAGCAAGATGGAAGGTTGTGTAGAGTTTGTTTTGAATTGTGATTTATATGAAATATTGATTGAGGAAGACATTGGTGATCTCAAAATATTTGGAAACTAAAAGACCTTGCTATTTAATGCTCTGGCTTTGGTTAAAGATATTTGAAGAAAGCTCACTTTGTTTCTAAAATTAAATCATTCCCCTTGTAGACTTGTAGTCGTTTATTATTTTTTGGATATGTTGTGTTTTTTCATTTAAAAAATATGAAGGAGAAAATAATTGCTTCTTTTCTGAAATAAGAACTATACGTTGAAATACATTTTCGAAAGCCTGAATGCCTTATTGGGTGGGGTGGGTAAAAATGTATAAAGATTTATCTATGTGTTTAAAATTGAATCGGTTAAATAACCAATGAAAACATGAATTTAAGATTTAAAAATTTAATTAGGATTTAATAAAATAGTATTTTTTTTATAATATAATAAATTTATTAGTAAATAATGAAAAAAATAATTAAAATTATGATCACTAAAAATTATAATAAAGATTATAAATATAAAATATATTAAAAAATATGAAATAAATAATTAGTAAAATAGGATAAAAATATAATAAAAAAAATTATATTTTTTATAAAAAAATTATATTAAAAAGATTGATCTTAACTCCCTTTTTTTTTATCAAAATCTATTTGATTAAAAAAATCTAATCAATTGTTTTAATTTTTTCTAATTTGTTCGATTTTATCCTAAATTCATTAAAATTTGGTTATTTAGAAATAACATACTAATTTTTAGACAAATTTTTTATTAGGTTGATCAGATTTTCAGAAATTTAAAGATAAATTTAATATTATTGTGAATAATTGATCTATGTCCAGAGGGTGGTGGATAATAATAGAAAGAATTCTTAAAATTGAAATATCTTGTATTGAAAATTTAATTAAATCTCTATGGGTGATATAAGACCATCTAAATCATCTATTGAAATAATCTTTAAAAATTCAATTAAGTTTCCATGAAAAGAAGAAGAAGAAGAAGAGAGAGAAGATAATTAATGCAATTTATTTATTTATTATTGAATTTAAAATTGAAGTGAGGGTTTCTTTTTTATTGTTTTGAAAGACGAAAATATTCCAATTTGTAGAGAGGGAGCTCATCGTCGATGAAAACTACTGTGAACTTTAAACGGAAACATGATTCCACGTTTTGACGAAGAATAATTTTATTTTTTTTTGTGAATTAAAATTATGTATTATACACTTTAAATACATTTTCAAAATTGAAACTAAATTGATTTTTTTTTCGCTTCAAAAGTCAAAATGTATATATCTTATTCAGTCGTATTCAATAAACGTCTTTATGGAAATTACTATCGTTTTCAGTAAACGTTTTAGTAAACATTATAGTTGTAGGTAAGGGGAAAACATTATAATATATCTTATTTAATAATAAATATTTTTAATGTTATTTTAAAATTTTAAATTTCTTAATGTAATAAATTATATTAATAAATAAAATTAATATTAGAAAATTATATTAATAAATGTAAAATATAAACAATAAAAAAATTTAAACAACATTAAAATTAATATCATTAAATAAATATATTACATTAAGAAATATAAAATTTTAAATTATAAATAACATTAAAACAATTAGTATCAGTTATTTAAAAATATAAAACAATTAGAAACTGTACAGAATATTAACTTTTTTTTCCTAATTCTGTAATTAAAGAAATTCCTTTCCCCCATAAGTTATAACATAGAAAAAAATTTCTGAGAAAATTATATCTATTTCATATTACTTAATTTCTAATCTATACATCAAAAATTGTATAGAAAACTTATAAAGAAAAAAAGTGAAATTGTTACATTACATAAAAACATTTGAGAACGAAAAGTAAAAAAATATAAAAAATACTTAATGTATCGCTTTAAGATTTAATAGTTAAAATTTCAATTTACTTGTGAGAAGGAAATTTCCCCCTCTATACTTTATAACGTTAAATTATAACATGTATTTAAGGTTAAAAACACATTTTATGACATCGGCAAAATTAAAGGGAATAATCGAGAGTGCAATAAGAAAACGCTAGAACGCAAAAATTAAACTCAGAAAACTAAATCCACAAGTTATAAGTACTAAGCTAAATATTCATAAACATAAGACAAAAATAAAAAATAAAAAAGGACAAAAAAACCATAGGGAAAGGAAAATGTAGAACACTTTTCTCCGCAATATCAGTAAGAGGTGCTACTAATAAATAAAAACCATCAAATTTAGTCGACCTCTTCCATCTTGCTTCCCTCGGCATCAACATCGGCCTCCTCCAGTGGGGGCATGTCGGCATCAGCATCACCTGCATCCTCATCAATGCTCAGTCCAAGCTTCAACATTCTGTGGATCCTGTTTCCAAAAGTGTTGGGGTCATCAAGGCTGAACCCAGAAGTGAGAAGAGCAGTCTCAAACAGCAGAAGAACAAGGTCCTTCACGGATTTGTCGTTTTTGTCAGCATCAGCACGCTTCCTCAGTTCCTCCATGATGGGATTCTCGGGGTTGATTTCCATGGTTTTCTTGCTGGACATGTACCCAGCCATGCTGTTATCTCTCAGTGCCTGAGCTTTCATGATCCTCTCCATGTTTGCAGTCCAGCCATATTCACCGGTCACAAGACAGCATGGTGAATCAACAACACGGTCAGAAACAATAACCTTCTCAACCTTGTCACCCAAAACATCCTTGATCACCTTGCACAGGTTATCAAACTTCTCCTTCAACTCCTCCTTTTTCTTCTTCTCGTCTTCACTCTCATCAAGTTTCAGACCTTCCTTGGTGGCAGAAACCAACTTCTTGCCCTCGAATTCCTTGAGCTGACCAACTGCATATTCATCAATGGCATCAACCATGAAAAGAACCTCATAACCCTTCTTCTTCAACTTCTCCAAAAAGGGAGAGTTCTCAACGGCTTTCTTGCTTTCACCGGTGATGTAGTAGATGTCGCTCTGTCCTTCCTTCATCCTGGTCACATAGTCCTTCAAGCTGGTCAACTCATCACCACTCTTGGTAGAGTGGTACCGGAGCAATTCAGCAATCTTTCCCTTGTTCTGAGAATCCTCATGGATCCCAAGTTTCAAGTTCTTAGAGAAGGCCTCGTAGAACTTGTTGTAGTCCTCCCTGTTCTCAGCAATTTCAAAGAAGAGCTCAATGCATTTCTTGACCAAGTTCTTACGGATGACCTTCAAGATCTTGTTCTGCTGTAACATTTCTCTGGAAATGTTGAGTGGAAGATCCTCAGAATCCACAATACCCTTGACAAATCCTAAGTACTCAGGAATCAACTCCTCACAGTTATCCATGATGAAGACACGGCGAACATAGAGCTTGATGTTGTTTGGCTTCTTCCTTGTGTCAAAGAGATCGAAAGGTGCCCTCTTGGGAACAAAGAGGATAGCCTTGAACTCCAATTGACCCTCGACAGAGAAGTGCTTTACAGCCAAATGTTCTTCCCAGTCATTGGTAAGACTCTTATAGAAAGCTGCATATTCCTCTTTTGTAATCTCTTCTGGCTTCCTCATCCAAATGGGCTTCTGTTTGTTCACCAATGACCATTCATGTGACACCTCCTTAATCTTCTTTTTCTTTTTTTCCTCTTTCTCCTTCTCCTCATCTACCTCTTCAACCTTACCCTCCTCATCCTTCTTCTCTTCCTCATCCTCGTCATCAGAGATCTCCTTCTCTGTGGTCTTCTCAACCCAAAGAGAAATTGGGTAGCTGATGAACTCAGAATGCTTCTTGATCAGGTCCTTCAATCGGCGCTCCTCAAGGTACTCAAGCTGATCTTCCTTGAGGAAGAGAGTAATCTTGGTACCCCTGCCAAGAATCTCACCAGAGGTATCCCTAGTGACAGTGAATGATCCTCCAGCCTGTGACTCCCAAACATATTGCTCATCATCATTGTGCTTGGTGGTGACAATAACTTTCTCGGCAACAAGATATGCAGAGTAGAAACCAACACCAAATTGTCCAATCATGCTGACATCAGCACCAGCAGCCAAGGCTTCCATAAATTCCTTGGTACCAGATCTTGCAATAGTACCCAAGTTGTTCACCAAATCTGTAGACAAAGTATAACAACATGAATTAACAACCATCGACAACTTCCAAACATTTCTACAAATCATTTCCTTCTACTCACCAGCCTTGGTCATGCCAATACCACTGTCAACGATGGACAATGTGTTGTTAGTCTTGTCAGGAATAATATGAATAAACAACTCTGGTTGGGCATCCAGCTTGCTCTTGTCCGTCAGACTCTCAAATCTAATCTTGTCCAGAGCCTATAATGAATCATACAATCACAGTCATACATCTCATAACCAGTCAATCACAGCATACATTTCCAATATCTACAATTGCAATTCACTCGACAAAATAAATAGGTTTCAATAATTCACTACTACATTAGTAAAAAAAAAAATTATTATAATCTAACCATGAAAAATATCAAAAAATGGCATCAATTGCTAGATAACCTATCCGAAACCGACTTAAATCAACCTATGACATCAGAGAAAAAAAAAAACAAATAACATAAACACATTACATACAAACCTGTTGAACTATATGTAAACAAATCCATACATAAACAATAAATCAAAACAATTAAGAAATGGAACTGAAAGCAAAAGTACATTTCAATTCCATAATCTTAATTCAGGCAAAAAAACATTACAATTTCATAATCCTAATTTAATTAAGGTTTAAAAAAAATTAAACAAAAAAATCATCTAAAAAATAGGAAAAAAAATTCAAACAACAAAATAAGTCATAGTTCAAAAACACCGAAAAACACGGAAATGAAATGGAGGAAAAGAGAAGAAGAAGAAGACACTTACATCAGAGGCGTTGCTGATAAGTTCACGAAGGAAAATCTCCTTGTTGGAGTAGAAGGTGTTGATGATGAGACTGAGAAGCTGGTTGATCTCAGCCTGGAAAGCAAACGTCTCGGTCTCCGCCATTGCCGATCTAGGCGAGCGAGAACAACAAGAAGGGAGGGAGTGCGTGAGAAAAACAAGACAGTTAGGGTTTAGAGAGAACACAGCAATGAGAGACCAACAGAGAAGCGAGTGGATATATAGAGCAGAGTTAACTAGGGTTTTCTAGATCCTTCTTTTACGAGGTCCTTCACTTATTTAGAAAAGACTCGTTTTCTAGATCCTTCTGTGTGACTTATATTGTTAAGTTGTACAGGCTTGGGCAATGAGAGAAGAGATCGCATGGCGTGTACACATGTTAGGTACAAACCTAGTAGAGGTTGTTCTAGATTCTAAATTTTAAATTCTATTATTTTTATAAATAAAATATGTCATACTTATATTATAAATTCTAAATTTTAAAAATAAAATATGTCATACTTATATTTTAAATTCTATTTTCTTACAAAATAAAAGATGACATATTTATATTTGATTCACATGTTTATGTTTGTATGGATATGATTTAATATATAAATTTTATTATTATTTATATATAATAAATATAGTTGGATTGAAATCACAGTTGACCTTAATCCTTTTCTTAATTAATAAATATAAGATATTTTAGTGAAATAATAAATAGATTTAAAAAAGTTGTAAATATAATTATAGAATGTGGATTAGTTCAAATCCATTTTTAAAGTAATTATTTGTCTCAATGATGATAAAAAATCTTAATTATTATAGTCTTACATGACATGGATTAAGATCTTGATTAAACTATATTTAAATCATTACAAATAAATATTTGTATTAATATGCACAAATATTGGTTTAAAATATTTTTTAACTTTATTTATTATTTATTCATTTTAATAAATATTTAAAAAATTTGTATTTTATTTATTTTCTCTTATAAATAACAATATTAAAATTATGAAATTAATAAATATAAAATTTTGAAAAATTATGTCTGTTTTTTCATTAAAAAAAAGTCACAATAAAAAGTCATACAAAATATTACTTCATAATAATTTAATATTTTATTTTATTTCTTATTTTAAATAAATATACAAATTATTTTAATTTGTTTATTATATTTAGTAAAAAAAGAAAAAAAATATATTTATAAAATAAAATTTAAATTTGATCAAATTTTTGTAAGATCCTTAAATTTTAAACTATAAATTGGAAATGATGTGTTTTTATTTTATTTGTCTAGGGGTTATATAAAATAATATATATATATATATAATCAAAAAAGTGTAATTAGAAGTAATTAATTTTATTAAGAAAATATCGCAAACAAAAAAAAGTTATTTCAATGGAGGTTATTCTAAACTCTTTAGTCCTAAATCTTAAAACCCCAAATACAAACCTTGAACTTTAAAATTGAAATCTAAATCTTAAACCCTAATTTCAATTAATGTGAATTTTGTTACTTACATGTGATTAAATATGCATTAAAAAGAATTAATGTTGCTTGGTCTAGATTATACCCTTGATGAAAAATTGTTAATATTGTATAAACTTGGATTTTCAATTGTTAAAAAAAAAGAAAAAAAGAGAGAAGAATTTGAAGAGTTTTTCTTCAGAAAAACTATAAAAGAAAGAAAATAAATATGAAAAATAGTAAATTATTCGATGAAAATAATAAAGAAAATTTTGTAAAGAAAACAATAAAGTGCATAAAAGCAAATCAATCAAAGCATGTAAGCAAAGCATTAAACATGAAATTTAAAGGCAAACATGTTATTTAAAACAGAAGATGAAACCAATAAATCTATCATTTAAAAAGCTTTAAAAGATTGCAAAAAAAAACAAAAATTAAGGAAACATATATCACGAAATTGAGGTGTATAAACATACTAGAAATGAAATTATACAATAGAAATAATAAGAAACAAGTTATGAAAAATATAGATTGATTATCTAATTATCACTTTGTTCATATGATTGTCATTAATTTATATACTTGTTTTCAATCACAAAACAAATTCACAAGAATTTTGAACAATAAAATCTAATTGAATTAAAATACAACTTAATTTCTAAATAAGACAATGATTTAACCTTAAAAATTGAATTATGATGTCAAATAATTTCAATGATATTGATTGTGATAGATTATAGTCGGTTAGAATTAGTAAAATTCAAGTTTAAACCATAGAAAATAATTTTTTATCAATGAATCAACCACAAAAATTAATTAGAACATGATTAAAGGTTGGAAAACAAAAAAATTCATGAAAATAGTAAAGAAAATTTGAGAAAAGTAGGAAGATAAGTAGTAAAATGAAAATTAAATTGAAATAATTAAGGAAGTGAAGACAAATCGCATCCAAAACATCTTGAACATATATACTTCTAAGAACAATTCGTACAAGATTCTTAAGATTCAAACTTAGAAGTTAAGCTAAGAACACATAGATTAAAGAGAGAAAACTAAATTCTAGAGCTTGAAATCTTAAAAATGAAACTTAAATTTAACTTATGAATCTTGACATTCTAAATCTTATTTATACAACACAAGCATGCTTAATACATACAAAACTCATTTAACACCTATAATTAAGATTCTACGATAGATTCGCTCAATGATTGCTTTTACTCTTCCAACAAAATCAACAATTAAGTTAGTTGATAAGCATAGTCATCTTCGTTGAGAGAATTATCCATTCGTTTAATGAATTCTCCATTCTCCATTCATTGAGTGAAATTTCTTAATATTGAACAAATTCATCAAAATAATTCTTCATATTTTGTTTTAATTTATCTTTTTTGCAACAAAAATTAAATAATTAGTTAAAATACATATTTTAGACACTAAATTAAATATAAAGATATTTATTATCTTTTTATCAAATCTATGTTAATAATAAATAATTAATGAATTAAATACATTAATAATATATTAATTATGTTAATAAAAATATGGATAAAATGTATCCATCAAACCTTTAAACCAAAAATTTTAAACCCGAAACCTTAAACATAAAATCCCAAACCCAAACTTGAACTTTGAATCTAAATCTCGAACCCTAAATTTTATATTTAAAATTTCGGTCTTAAATCTTAAACCCTAAATCAGACATTCAAACTTTCAACATGACCGTAACCCTAATCTTAAAACATCTACAACTTTTTTAAAACCCAAAAAAAATCCAATTCGCAAACACTCTAATACGCCTAAGATCTAAGCATGATGTTTTAAGCCTTAAGTGACCAACTCCCATCCTTCAACCCTTTAAAACTCAACCTAAGACATAAGTCAAAAGGCTCATTGAAGATAATTATAGGGCCAAAACATTTTTAATCCTATAAATATTTTGTTTTATTATTAATATATTTGGATGTAGTTCTTTTTCAATATTTCACGATAAAATAAATTTTGTATTCTCTTGGTGCGAACTCTTATTCCCATTATAAGAAATAGTGCGCACTATTACCAATTGTTATTATATATTTTTAATTTTTTCATCTTCGTAAGTTTTATATATTTCATTCATCCAAAAATATATAATGACAAAGATTTGAAGAAAATAAAACTCCATATATTATGAAATGAACTATTAAAATGACATTTGTAGTTATAACCTCTAAAATTCTATTTCATAATACATATTTATTCTTGTTTTAGTTTTTGTTGATAACAATATTGCGTTTTTAAGTCATAGAAATATCATCATATTTAAAGGATTGTAAATTTTGGACATAAAATTCTTTTAATTGATTTTACCATATTAACTATTTTATACTATTAATTAATCTTAAATATAAATAATTAAGTTAGTAAACAAAGTAGATAATATTTTGAACTAGGTATTTACTATTTAGACACCAATATAGTAGCCAACTTTTGGTCTTTATATATTTGATCACTTAATAGATTTTTATATAATATGGCCAGTGAATTAGTATCTATATAATATGGTCATTGAATTGGTTTATAATATGTTCAGTGAGTTGGTTTTCATATAACATGGTCACCAAATTGGTTTCTATATAACATGGTCAGTAGACTAGTTTTTAAATAAGATGGTCATTGAATTGATTTTTATGTAATATGGTCACTGAATTGGTTTCTATATAATATGTCACTGAATTAATTTTTATATAATATGATGACTGAATTGGTTTCTATATAATATGTCACTGAATTAATTTTTATATAATATGATGACTGAATTGGTTTCTATGTAATATGGTCATTAAATTAGTTTCTATGTAATATGGTCACTAATTTGGTTTTCACATAGCATGTTCACTAAATTGGTTAAATAACATGGTCATTGGACTGGTTTTTATATAATATAGTAATTGAACTGGTTTTTAATATATGGTCGCTGAATTGGTTTCTATACAATTTGTCATTGAATTGATTTACATATAATTCTCTCACTTAATTGATTTCTATATTATTGGTCACTAAATTAGTTTATATATAATATAGTCATTTATTTTTGTATAATTGAATATTAGTTCCTAATCACAATTAAAGTTGGGTTCTAACATTAGTTACTAAGGTTTTTATTCCTTAGTTAAATTAGATTCTAAATTAGTCACTAATTGAATTAGTAACTAATGTTATCATTTTTAGAGACTAAATTTAGTTTCTAAAAATATTTTTTTCTTAGTTTGTGTAACTTTGATTTTGTGGAAAAAAAAGAGAGTATATCGGTTTATTGCTCTTAAATGCTTGCATAAGAATTAGCCAAACGTTTGTGATACCATTTTTTTTTTTAATATATACTCTTTGAGGTGCTATAACAAAAAAGTTCAAGAAGAAAAAAAACACACACACATAAATTAAGGTCGAGAACAGTGAATCAAGCAGCAGCACTTTGATGTAAGCAACTGACCGGGTAAGAAAGGGCCTAGGTATTTTTTTATTTGATCAAAAACCAAATTGAGTATTGAACTAGTTAAAATTCTAATCAAAGAATTCAATTTTAATTAAATTAATATCAATAAAATAATAACAAATGATTAGTAAATATATGTGATATAATGTATTAAAGTAATATAATACTAAACATTATAATAAATAATATTTTATATTTATTTCATTAGTAAATTCAAATTATTTAATAAACCAATACGAAAATTTATTTCTTAACAATAAAAAATAATTAAAAGGTAATACTAAAAATACATTAAAAACATTCAATCAGTTGTACTGTTCTGGACACCTTTTTCAAAGTTTGCTCAGTTGTTCTCTCTCAAAACTACTTCTACTTCAATGGTTTATTTAGACCAAATATTGGGCATGCTTACCAAATTCTGAATGGAATAGGCTGGTTAGTCTTATTTTCAGAACATAAATTTCATTAAACTTACTATGATCTTTGTGTGAACAAGGCTTAGCTGAGGCAGTGAAATCTGTTATTAACCTTGACAATTATCTTTCCATTATAAATTACATGTTCCTATTACTGAACTTCTACCATTGACTAGAAGCAGATCAGATAGCCAACGTCACACTGTAAATACCAATATTTTATCAATTACATATCTTGCCCTCCTGAATTTAACCGTGAGATTTGCTAGTAGATTATAGATATCTGACTATTCATGTGGTCCTTTTCCACAATGAACTTATTAAGTTATGAGCTATGCTCTACCCAGCTCGTAGCTGTTGTTTTCTTTACTCCCTGTTTTCTCATTTTGTCCCTAACGTCGTCAACATCTTTCCACCTACCATCCAAAGCATATATGTTGGAAAGCAACACGTAATTGCCAGAATTATGTGGTTCAACCTTGAACAATTTAGCAGCAGCAAGTTCCCCGAGTTCAACTCGTTTATGAATGCTTGTAGCATTTAAAAGAGATCCATAAATGCCAGCATGGGGCTCCATTGGCATGCTTTGAATCAATTTCATTGCTTCTTCTAATTTACCAACTCGACCTAGCATATCAATCATACATGCATAGTGATCTACATCAGGAACTTTGATTGATTCAAAAACTTCCCAGCCCTCTTCCACTAATCCTGCATGACTGCATGCTGTCAATACCCCAATATGTGTTACGCGGTCTGGTTCAATACCATCTTCTTTCATTTTTGACATTAGCTTGATGCTTTCCGTTCCATACCCATGGACTGCTAACCCGGAAATCAACGTGTTATAGGAAACTAAATCTCTGGTTGCCATTTCTTGAAATATTACTCTAGCATCTTCCAAACTTCCACATCTTACGTACATGAAAATCAAAGAATTGTATCCTGAGATACTAAGCTTGATATGATTTTCACTTAGGATTCTGACAGCCCAATTGCCTAAGCCTAGTCTTCCAAGGTGTCCACATGCAGAAAAAACAATCACCATAGTCACCTCATCTGGTTTTGAATCTTTACTAGAGATCATTTCCTTGAACAGCTTGATTGCCTCTATTGACTCGCCATTTTGAGCGTAACCAGCAATCATCGAATTCCAGGAGACAGTATTCCTTTCTGGCATCTTATTAAACAGGTCTCTTGCCAAAGATAAATCACCTACTCTAGCATAAGCAGAAATCATGGCGTTCCATGTGACAGCATTCTTATACACACGCAATTGCTCAAAAATCTTCTGAGCTACCTCAAGGTTCCCGCACTTTGCATGCATATCAAGAAGTGCTGTCTTGACAAAATAATTTGAACGAAAGTTCATTTTGTCTAGCTTTCTGACAATTGACTCTGCAAGGCAAGGATCACCAAGAGATGAGCAAGATGATAGGACAGTTACCCATGTTGTTTCATCTGGTTCATTGCCAGAGTTAAGCATGTCACTGAACAATCTTACAGCCTCTTGTGCTGCTCCACTCTGAGCATATCCTGATAGCATAGCATTCCAAGATACCACACTTTTTTCGGGCATCAAATCAAAATATTTCCTTGCAGTCTTTAAATTCCTCATCTTTGCATGTCCAGTAACCATGGTGGTCCAAGTAATAACATTCCTTTTTGACTCGCCCATCATGCTAAAAAGCCTACTTGCTTCCTCTTCATTCCCGCATTTCCAGTATCCAGAGATTATGACGTTCCAATCTGCAACAGTTCTATCAAGCATTTCATCAAACAGTTTCCTGGCAACCTCGATATGTCCACACCTGGCATACATGCCCATAATTGCATTTCGAACATGATGATCGCCACAGTGTCCCAGTTTTAGTACATGAGCATGAAGTAGCATGCTGGCCTTTCCAGAAGATTTTATCAATACCGGATAAACCGATGCATCAGGCTTAATGTCATAGTATTGCATATGTTTAAAGAAAGAAACTACTTCTGCTGTAGCACCGGTTTGGGAGTAATATTTGAGCATGCAGGTGAAGACATGTACATTCGGATACGTTGCTACATGGAAAATGTGCCAGGTGTAGTTTGAGGGTGCAAGGAGGCGCGTGCATTGGGTAAGGAGAAGCGCCACCCAGTGGTTGTGTTGGTGCTGGGAGTGGAGGACGAGCTGTGCATGGAGCTGTCTAAGATGATGAAGATTGATTATTTTATCTGCTATGCTTTTCTTCTTCAAAGGTGACATGCCAGGGAGCACTTTTTTTCTTCTATCCACCATGCAATTGGAGTTAAACAAGATGTTGGTAACTGAGAAAAAAAGGAGAACACATTAAGAAATCAATAAAAATGAAGATACTATGATTCAGATAACAAAAATTTATCATAATCGGGACAATTTAGTTCCTAAATCAACATTCTCGTATGATCCGTATGTATCTAACTCCTACGTCCTTAAATAATGAAATTAAAAAATAGTTTATATATATTTTTTCTCTTATTATTAATATAACAATCTTATAACAATTGATTTTAACAAATGTTAAAATTATTTATTTATTTTTATAATTAACTATTTTATCTTTTATCAAATAAAAATAAAGTATTATTTACTTGATTAATAATGCTATAAATTGTATAATTATTTTTAACATGTTTTTTTGTTTTTTTTTTCAGAGTTTACATTATCTTCTTTGTCTCTACAGTTATTCGGTGTTTCTTTAAACCTAATTGCCAATATATAATATTTTTATATTTTAAATTTTGTTTAATTTTTGTCTTTTTATTATTATTATTATTTTAAATTTCGCTGATGCTCAGTTTATCAAGTGATTTACTCA